CATTCTTTCCAAGTACGGAATCGCCACCAAAATTAACCTGCCAACTGTCGGCGAAAACCTGCAGGACCAAATGAACAATGGTCTCCAGTTCGACTCGAAGAAAACCTACAGCAGCAACAAGAGTGCCGACTACGTCGCCTACCCCTCAGCAGCCCAGCTCTTCCCCAACTTCGCAGCACTCGGAGCCGAGCTTCTTCGCGAGCTTCCCGCTTATGCAGCGCAGGTTGCATCCGCCAATGGCAACATCACCAAAGCCCGCGACATATACCGCTTCTTTAAGATCCAGTGGGATCTGATCTTTAAATCTGGTATCCCTGTTGCGGAGATCCTGCTGTCGGCCTCTGGAACCTCGTATAGCAGCGAATACTGGGGGTCTGTTCCGTTCTCTCGCGGCAGCGTTCACCTCTCTTCCGCGGACCCCACCGCGGCGGCTATCATTGACCCCAAGTACTTCATGCTGGACTTTGATCTACATTCTCAGGTGGAGGCGGCGCGGTTTATTCGTGAGATCTTCAAAACTGAACCATTTGCTGATATGGTTGGTGGTGAAACCAGCCCCGGTCTTTCTACTGTTGCTGCTGGTGCTGAAGATGAGGGCTGGGCTGATTTCATCAAGGGTCAATGTACGTGTATCATTTGCCTTTCTGAGAGATTGGTGGAGGGAATTTTATTATTAACCTTTTATTTGACTAGACCGATCAAACTTCCACCCGATCACCACAGCTGCCATGCTTCCCAAGGAGATTGGTGGTGTTGTCGACTCGTCGCTGAAGGTTTACGGAACCTCGAATGTTCGTGTTGTGGACGCTTCCGTCATGCCTTTCCAGGTCTGCGGTCACCTTCAGAGTACCGTCTATGCGGTTGCTGAGCGTGCGGCCGATATCATCAAGGCGTGCTCCTAGAGGAAAAATGGTATGCAAATTGTTACAGCCTCTGTCCCTGCATATATTAAGGTTGATCAAGGTAGAAGGATGATGTTGCTACACAGGGTAACAATGACCAAGTTCAACTCCGAAAGGTGTTCTCTCTTTATAACTTTGTGTATTGGCCTGCTTGTTCCATCTGGGATCCTACTGTTTATATTATGCGGAAAATCAAGCCAAATATCATATTAACCTCCTCGGAATACTTTCCAAACAAATATAAACAATCATTTACCATACATATCGAAATTGTCGGTCTTGTTTATCCGTGATATCTGTCTGTGGCAACCCATTTTCGTCCAATTTGACCTCTTCATCCACACTGACAACACCCGAACTGGCAGCCCGTTTATCACGCTGCTTATTGTCTCGGATGCACAAGAAGCGGAATAAAATCACCACCACAGAAAGCAGACACCATGTTACAATGGATGTTATCACACCCTCCGTATAACGAGGGCTGTGGGTCCATAGTTGAGGCGAGGCAATGCAGGCAGCACAGTAACCAATGAAAAACATGCCGTTCACAACAGCGCGCTTGGTATTTCCCTTGAAATTTGATGCCGCAAGTGAGAGAAGTGGTGTCATGGATGCCGTAATGCATGAAGACTGCGGAAAACCGGGTTAGCAACGGAAGAATGACCTGGTCAACAGAAATACATACCAGCCACGAGGCAACAATAAGACCCCATTGAGCAGTCACGTCCAACTTCAGCAAGAAGACAGTCCCAATCAGAGGCGGGATAATAAGAACAAGAATGACTAGCGTTCGCTGATTAGGGAAGATAAACACTAAACCGACACCGATCCACAGGAAGGCAACTTGAACAGCGCCCGATGGAGCCGTATATAGCATAGTCTCAAGGTTAGTATAGCCGATCGACTTGATCACAAGAGATGCAAAAGTCAAAACCGGCGACTGCATGCATACCAAAACACCAAACCAAAAGACAACCCATGCCTTGGGGTCCATTATTGTCTCTTTGAGCTGGGCAACGGAAAAAGAGGCCTTGTCACCACCATCTCGATCCTGTGCCATGCGTAGCGAAAGGACTTCCCTCTCGCGGGCATTCAAAAACCATGCATCTTTCGGCCCGTTTGGCATGAGGAAAAAGAATGCCACGCCTGCGGCAGAGGTTATCGCGCCGCAGATGATAAATAGCACGCGCCAGGGAGCGATTGGAAGCGAGGTGTTTTTACCAATGCCATACATAAGGGAGCAGCCTATAACCTGTGCCAGACCATTCATGGAGATCCATAATGCCGTGCGGACATTGTGTTCTTTCTTTCGATACCAGATACTAGTGATCGTCACGAAAGCAGGCGAGACAGCGCCTTCGCTGAAGCCGAGCAGAAAGCGCACAGTGGCAAATCCGGCGAAATTGTTTGGTGCTGCGAGGCACATGCATATGATGCCCCAGACAATTCTGAATTGGTGGTTAGCGCATGATTAGGACAGATATAGTAGTACCGCAAGAGTAAACTTACACAGTCGCACCGACGAATTTGGTCAATGGGAGCCGGCTCATTAGATATATAAATGGATACTCGGCGACTAGCTGGCCGACATAGAAAATTGAGCTTGACCATGAATATTGCGAGCTTGTCATATTGAGGTCTTGAATTAGACCGAAGACACCAGCATAGCTGAGACTCTGCTTATCAAGATATTGCAGGAAAAAGACGAAGCACATCTGGAAGTATGCGTCATTAGCCCGAAAAAGATCCCGAAAGACAACTTGAAGCACTCACAAAAGGCAAAATGACCAAGTCAATCTTGCGCAGGACGGTTTTCTCTTCCTCTGCGGTGTAACTCCCCTGAAGCTCGAGAATTTCGCCTGTTGATTGATCGGCATTGTCGCTACTCGCAGCACGCTTCTCTATGTTGTCCATCAATACAGGTGGGATTGAAGCCCCTTGATATATACGAATGAGATAATTGGATTTGGGCAAAACAAAACAGTCAAAGAGGAGAATGCTCAAGTTTTCAAGGGAAAAAAAAGCTGATATGCCCCGGATTTCCCACCGGCTATAAAAGAAGGCTTATCTTCGATTGTCGGTGATATGATATGCGGAGAAGTGCATCGGTCCGATGGCGTCGGGAATCTGTCGACCAACTTGCCGACAAATGTGAGAGACTCCCCGCAACGTGATTTCTTTCAGCTTTCAAATTTAGTATTTAAACTCAATATCTTGGCTTATCAGCATCATCTCACCCCAAGCCGAATATGTCACAAACCACCCTCCCGGGCTCAGACATCAAGCCATGGATACGCCCTGCACCACAGGGATACAAATTCATCAATGCCAACATCGTCGATGTCGAATCAGGCACAATCAAAGCAAGCAAAACCCTCATCACCACTGAGGGCAAAATCACCTACATCGGCTCAGAATCATCCATCCCAGCTTCACCAATCAGCCTCAAAACAGTAGACTGCCAAGGGAAATATCTCTGCCCCGGTCTATTCGATGCCCACGTACATTTATGCGCAGTTCCGGGCTTCAGTGACTTATCCAAAGCCTTCGGAAATCCGAATGACGTACACCTTTTGCGCCAGCCTTACACAGCCTCACAGATGCTGCATCGCGGCTTCACCAGCATCCGCGACTGTGGCGGTGCCCAGCTCGCCCTGAAGGAGGCAATTGAAGACGGTGTCTTCCCTGGCCCGCGCGTTTTCATCGCAGGCCATGCTCTCTCGCAATTTGGTGGACATGGTGATCTGCGCGGCCCGCATGAGGCTACGGAATGCTGCGGCGGCACTCACGACAATAACCACCTAGGCCGCATGTGCAACGGCGTGCCGGAGTGTATTGCTGCTGTCCGTGAGGAGATTCGACGCGGCGCTGACTTTATTAAGATTATGGGCTCCGGTGGTGTGGCTTCGCCAACGGATAAGCTAGAACATCTGCAGTTTACAGTGGCGGAGATTCAGGCGATGGTGGAATGCGCTGATAATGCCGGGACTTTTGTCACGGCCCATGCCTATACTGTGAAGGCTATCCGGCATTGTATCGATAATGGTGTCCGTGGTATTGAGCACGGGAACTTCGTTGATGCACCCACTGCCAAGCTCATGGCCGAGAAGGGGGTCTACTTGACGCCTACGCTTATCGCATATGCTCAGATGGCTTCCGAGCGGTGGAAGAACTACCTGCCTATTGAGTCCCAGGCAAAGAATTCGATCGTGTTAAAGTCTGGTCTTGAGGCTTTGAGGGTTGCCTCGGAGGCTGGTGTGACTATGTGCTATGGCTCTGATTTGCTGGGTCCACTGGGCTCTGCGCAGACCCATGAATTTGCACTGCGCTCGCAGGTTTTATCGGCACTGGAGATCTTGCGTAGTGCTACTGTGAACCCAGCGAAGATGATGGGATGCGCGGATGAGCTGGGTCAAATCAAGGAGGGCTTCCATGCTGACGTTGTGATTCTAAATAAGAACCCGCTTGATGATGTGACCGTCTTTGATAAGCCTGATGCACATGTGCTTGGTGTGATGAAGGATGGTCGTGTCTATAAGAGTAGGTGGGATGCATTGCTGGAGGATGGTCAGATTCCAGTGAGAGTACAATGATTATTGTTGTATACTGTATTGCATTGCATTGCATCGCAGTTGGTGTTGCGAGTGTGACGATAGACATAAATATATCCGAGTTAAATATGGTGGTGTGGTGTCTTCATTCTCCCTACTCCCTACGTAGGTCTTCGTAGTGGGGCAGAAATAAATATACCGTGACTCCTGATACCGCCTTCCTAATTGGATAGTTATACCGCCTGCTGAATTTGTAATACCGCCCATTCTCCCTCATTTCTAATTGGCGAATATTTGACCAGCAGAATTTGGGGTGCTGATAGTATGTCCCTCATTCATGGATGTCAGATAGGGGAGCTCAGAGTACAGACACAGAATGGAAAGGGGTTTACAGAACGTTGTTTTTCTAGGATACAAGGATGATTTCTGAGATCTGTATGATCCCTAAGCTTGCTAGCTGACCTCCTTGGATGGTTGGTGTTGTTTCGTCGCTCGCGTGCTAGGCCAGACTACCCGTCGTGCATTTCCCTCTTCACTAGGTACATATTTATGTGAGCCCAGAGAAGTCTAGGACATCAATCCCAGTCAAGCCCATGAGAAAGGCTGGATCATCACTCTGGAATCCCGACAAAAGGTCGTACTCTATAGACTGGAACTCCCGCAACATAGTTGAACCATGTGCTAGGCTTTGCGGGGTTGAGCTTTCCGGGATATACTGTTCACCAGCAGTCCTCCAATCGGGCGTATTATCGTTTGACTGTGGTGGATGCAGTACAGTATGTGGAAAGGGCACATCGGGCTCTGCCTCATGGATTGCTCTTTGCTCCAGGGTCTGAGAGCGTTCCAATCTGGTAAGCCATTCAGCCCATTGATTGTAATCAGATGTCGAAGCCGAATCTTGTACATCCTGCGTTTCGTTAGCCGTGGATGACGCTTGATGGAGCTTCTCCGCGGCCTCGTTTGTTATCGACTGCACGGCTTCAACAAACTTTACCCCCAATTTAGCTGTCATGTTTCCAGTTGCCATTCTCCGAAGACAGTCTAAGCCAAATTTCACTCGAGCATTGTATCCTGAATCTCGTTCTGTGATCCCAGCCACTAGCGTCACGATCGTCGCAATACTGCATCCCTGGAAGTCCGTGAATGAGAAACGAGTGATCTTGCGGGTTTGTGTCAAATTCTCGAACAGTAGGAGAAGTTTTCTGCCCGCCTTTGCGCAATATCGGGATTGCATCAAGGTGGCCTCGCTTGGACCAGGAGGGCGCGACGCAGGAAACATATGATAACGAAGGCTCGTTCGGGCAACTGTTACGAGGGCGACTTTTCCCATGGTTATCCACGCATAGTAATAATTCAAATAGAGATGGAAGATCGTGCGATATCTTGAGTCTTTGGGGTCCACGTTTTCAAGCTTGAAATCTGGCGGTAAGGACTTCTTCCACTGTCGAAGATCAGAAGCCAGACCTTCGGATTCTGACTGTTCTTCCGCTTCGGTGACACCACTACTGATAAAATATAAGTGCGTGTTATTCTATCGGAATCGACCCAACATACCACGGTTCGGCAATTCGATCGAGGATCTTGATCAGACGAGCATACGCCATCTGGAATTGAATATTGTTGTATTTTTGCAGACGATCCAGTGCTGGGAGAGGCGATGGATGTGGTACTTTGACTACATTGGCATCAACAGAGCGAGGCCTGCTTAGTTTGATAGTGGTACACCTGACGTGGTTAGTGAGATTTATTTCAGCGAGAGTCCCATCACGTACCTCTCGAGGGAATATATTGACCACCATAACCGACATCGGACCTCTCTCTCTCGGTCGTCAACTGCTTGATCTTCTGGGTTGAGATGGAGATCAAATGCCAATGCTTTGCGCAAAGCCAAGCCCATGTAGACATAGGATGATCCGATGGCACTTGCTGGCATTAGATAGACACCTAGCAAGAAGGGCGCTTGAATGGATCGGAGACAGGGTCGGTCAATTAAGTCGGGTATAAGCGTTTTGGCATGAGTATAGAACACTTGACCTAAATCATCATTATCTCGATGTAGGCTGACTGCAAATTCATCTGGTCTTTCTAGGGGCGTCCATTGACTACCTAGTGCGAATGTTGCCATTGCAAGACAAACAAAGCTCAAGTCAGATCTTAACGGCGAGGTGGTGTCTGTGTAGAATTGGTCAATCTCGGACAGAATTTGGTCCTGGTCAAAGTAGAAGAATGTATCTGTTGCATGTTTAATGAATACCGAAATCAAAAAGTCGGCGATGGGGCGCGGGGGGAATGCATCAATTGCTGCATGTAAACGTGCCACCTCATATGGATGAAGTGCCTTTGGACGGGTCATATGCTAGGATTCTTCAGTTGACACGGGCTCAAAATCGAAATATGATATGGCTTACGGCTTGCATGGCGACCATGTCCCTCTCTTCGGGTGCAGCATCCGGATCTAGCGAGAAAGCCTCCCTCAGACGGGAGAGGATGTTTGGCCACGGGGCCCTTTTAGATTGACCTGCAACAACATGTTCGGCGAGCTTTTGGGACAAAACCGATGCCGGAGAAAGCGGATCAGTATGACCGATATCATCTTGCAGTAGTTGGGCTCGGTTTCTGGTCGATGTAGCAACTATACCAGGTTCGGGAAGGTCACTCGACGCAGTATCCTGGGTAACAGGCGATTTCTCCCTATTTCACGTTAAAAAAGCGCTTTCTTAAAGGTCATGGACTGAATACCTCCCAAACCTGCAGGCTAAGTTACTTGCAAGGCACCGCTGACATTTGCCCGGTGTCGCCTCCACACACTTGCTTTTCCTGGCCTTACAGCGATCGCATCTAAGCCCAGTTAGTGGATACGCCTCGTCTCAGACGAATGATGCATACGCTCGGGGTGCCCTTTTGCGATTCTCGTCGGCAACTCGCCTTCTTCGTCGTCGTCTCGAGGCAGAGTCCATTTTCAATTTGGACAGTTATCCGAAGCGCTATATAGGAGTGGACCTGCAAAGGATAAGAAAAAGACAAGTTCCCGAAACACGGCAATTTGGCCGAGAACCCTCGTTATCTACCCCACACTCCCAAGCATTGGCAATGTCTAAAGGAGATTAAGAATGCGAGATGTACCAATAAGGAGGAAATTATAGCAGGGGTTTCAAGTCAATGATACCTTGTTAATGGAGATTCATGTGTCAGTGATTCCAGGAATCATACCACCAATCGAGACTGTTACAGCCTCACGGGCGCCTGGTATTCTCCCCCTCTATATTTGCCCGTCCTTTCCATTCGTGTTCTTCTATCTTTGCATGTTGGGACACTGCTGTAATTGACAATCCCCCCATACTCATGGTTATCTCCATCTCAGCTCCTATCAGGGTAGGGGTATTCCGCATTGTCATCCCTCCGGATTCCACTGATCCCCATAGAATCTTGATACCATAACCAGAGAATATCCTGTTGTTCCCGATCCAAGGCAAAGAATTTCCTAGACAATCGAATCTCAGCCGAGCTGCGTTGTTCTAGCAGCCGAAGTTCCTCCTCCCGATTTTCCAGCAGCAGTCGTTGGATGGACGGTAACCTGGAAAATATATTGGTGATGCTCGCCTCAACTACATATACACCGGATTTTAGGCCGCGCGACATGGCTTTCCCTTTCCGCTTTAGTGCTCACCCCTAGCCGCTTTTTGATCACTGAGTAAAACTGAGCACGCCCCGGAGTATTACATAATCATTAAACTTGCTCACTGAGCATCGCCTGATCATTACATAAGCCGGATGAACTCGCTCACTGAGCGTGACCTGAGCACTCTGATTTGCTCACTGAGGACGACCTGACTATTACATAAGCTCAAGGGCTTGCTCACTGAGAAGTTGGAGCAGCTAAGTCAGCAGCCCACCTCAATAAAATGCACCACGCTAGCCCCAACCAAATGCAGTTGTTCACTAGAACTCTTGACCGTTGTCCCCTCGACGAAGGCTGGCGTTATCAATTTGGCGGTCGGTCCAGCTAGGAGGCAAATTCATAGTGGGGCCATATTGGTTTTATTATTCTACAGCTATACCACTATTCAACTCGCCCGAGTCTTGCATCCACGATACCGGAAAATATCCAACCCTCAATTTTTAGTTCTACAATATCTAGGAATATCTCAGAACCCCTAATTAGATAGTTTATCAATCCATTAGTGTTTTATTCTGATTTTTTCCGCTTGATTTTTAACGGATTATCGCTCTTACTACCTACCGTTTGCTCCTAGGAATACGACTTCAGCTCTAGCGACCTCGACATCCGCAAAAATATGAACCATCGATCATGTCTACTGTATGAGCTAGCCGCCCATAACGCATGACGAAATTTGCGGCCCCTTATTTGCCTAATGTTAGGGAACAAACTGGATTGCAGCAATCTATAGTGCTTCCTATGCACAAGTACGCCTCAAACCCGCCCGCGGGTCGGGCGGTGATTTTCTTGCCCTCAGAGGGCGGCCCTCCAAATATGACAAACATGGAACTCTGCCCATGTGTTTAGATGCATAAAGTATGCAGATTTCGGCAGTATTATTCAGTATTCTATTTACAGCTTAGTAGTATAAATTGAAAGTATATACCATATAAGTACTACTATGAATATATATTCCATCTGATAGAATTAGGTAGCAATCTTTAAAATTACCAACCACTACTTTTCTTAAAGAGATTGAAAATCTACAATGTCACTATTACATACTATGATTAATTATAAAACTCAATTTCTTAAAATTTCTTAATATTAATAAAGAAATAGATGATAAAAGTAATATTCAAACCTAAACAGTGCTAAATAACAGTAATTTATTAAGATGACTTAGCAGTTTTATACGTCTAAATTGAGAAAGGTCAACTTTTTTAATGCAAATGAGGGCCGCCCTCAGAGTGCCCGCTCTCAAAATGTTTTTAATGAGGTCTACGTCTCCGTGGCCTACCTAAGGTCACCTGACCATCCAACATATTGACGGCCACACTCCATCGTCACTTCCATTCATCATCAATTCTATTGATTTTCTTTCGTTCTCAGAGTTCTTAACTCTTCCCCTCTCACACGAAAATGGATAAACAAACCCAGACCAGGCGTTGCGATGAAGTTAAGCGACTCTACAAGCTACTTAAGAGTTGTGAATCTTGGTTTCTTTCCCCCGGTGATCTCCAAGGCCTCGGAATCTATAGCCAGCAAGTTGGCATGACAGGTGACGGCTCTGTACAATTTGATCCATGTTTCTTTCGGCCTTATCCGGAAAAGGTGCTTCAAAAATATCCACTCGATACGGTTTCGATGGCTGCGGACCATCCTCCACAGACTCTTCAACGGCTTAATAACCCCCGGGACTTCCAGACTCTGTTACGAGAAGTCCAGAATGACCCTAAGGTCGAACATCCCCTGGAATTCGCTAAATCAAGATGGGATACATTGACACTTTTATATGGGCCGGATGCCTGGGAAGATCATGCCAGACAGACACGTTGGCATATTCAATCCCAGCAGATGCTTCCTCGGAGAGGGCTTTCCCGGGACTCTACTCTCAGCGATCTAAGATCTATCTACGAACGGAGGTTAGTGCACTTTGCTTTTTCTCTTTTACTCTACTGTTTTTAGGGACTAAATATACTAGGACGAAATGGAAGCATAGCGCTCCTGAACTATGTGGACTTAATAGAAGGAACTATTGGCGTATACTAAGTCTCCGAGAAGTTTTTCAGCCAAGCTTTAACCCACATGCAATTATGGAACTTTTATCCGATGTTCCCGCAAATGATGCAGAGAATTGCCTTACTCTCCAAGAAGTAAGCGCCGTCCTAACCGTGATGGTTGCTCGAACATCCGATCGGCCGTTCCGGGACCACCCGATCCATCCAGTTAGTATCTTACTTACATTTCCTAGCTACTAGAGATTTCCTAAGTACTCACTTATTTTTTATAGTTATTGGTTCTTTCATACACTGGACAGAAACATGGAAGAATAATTCAAGCTTCATTACATGGAGAAAGCTTGCTTTTGCAATATTCTCAGCTATGGAGTTTTGCGGATGACGAAACGGCACCAGTTGAACTTTTCGTTCGTTATGATATGAGCCAGCCAGTTCCGATAGCCTTAGAAGAGCCGAATCCTATTATTGGCTCTCTTGTCGGCCCTGTTACGTCTATGAGCTTGAATTAGCTATTTAATACAGACCCTACCACAAAGTATTTTACCCACCCGCATTTTTACCCCACCATCACAAAATATAATATGTGAAGGAACGAAGCCAAATTGATTCAATACTGACTAAGTCGACATGCTGTTTACAAAAAAAGCTTGGAGAAGGGAAGGAATGAAGCAAGCGAGACAATAATAAGGATGACGGGCAAGGCGGTGGCAGAACGGAAGCGTGCGGAGACGGAAGCCTAGTTATATGGCAGGGCCATATAGTAGGAAGCGGGTCTAACCCGTTACAGGCAGCTAGACTGCGACATCGCCCGTCCATGGGCACTAGAAAGTGTCCACGGCCCGTGGGCCTTTTGAAATTTGACGCCCATCGCCCACCATTATGCAAAATTAATGCAAAAATTACCCTATTAGGCTATTTTATGTACATAACCAGATCTTGGCAGTACCCACTTTGCCAAGAGTGTCCGCATATGTCTTGGCGACGCTAAAAGTGTCTCCACTTTAACGGGCGTTGTCGCAGTCTAACCACTGCCATTAGTCGATGAGCAAAGCTTAAATAGAAGCTTGCCTTGACCAAAGCTAGGTATTATGTACGCATTTCTGTTGCCAAGTTATATTTAATCAATCTACTGGGGAAGAGTGATTTGTATGAACATCAAGCAAGAGGACTCACTGCTGGGATCTTCTTCGACGACAGTCTTTGTTGGCTATTGGGTTGGTGTCAGTGTCCTTGTCATCGTCGTTCTTGGTAGATTGCCCTTTAGTAGTATTAGTACAATCTTTGACGACTGAAGAACCTAGATTAAGAGAACTCACCTGTGGGCCTTTTATGTCACCACTTCTTGCGAACTCGTTTCAGCCCCTTTCCGCACTGGTTTGCTTTTTACGATCATGCTTCCGCTTGATCCTGGCAGTTTGCTACATGAATAAGGGTGTGTCAGTAATTACCTGGTCACTTGCTATGAGACACGAGTAGCGTGCGGCAGCGGCACGGAGGCGGGTGTCACGGTCGGAGCAGTAACGGCACTGCTAGGCTGAGAACTCAACGCCTGGATACCACCGGTATTCGCTACATCGAGTGCCACAATAGTGGGGCACTGTATTCCAGCAGGCTACGTTTTGTCACAGAACGGGCAACACTACGGGATGTTAGAGACTGATTTGCTGTACTTTCCACTGGATTTGATGCACTTACGCCGGGAACATTCCTTCTGTCGCTGTTCTTCATCGTGAAGCATGAGAGTTGAGAGGGGAAAGTGGGTGCGCCTCAGAATAACGTTCCCATTTAGAAGGCTTGTTCAAGTATAGATATCTCATTCAGAATTGGTCAAACGCCTCCCCAATACAATTCTGCAATTGCCCATTGATTCAATAGCATTCAACAGCCCGGGCCTACGCATTTATATAGTAGCAACAGAACAATGTTTGTGGCAGTCTCATTCAATGAATTTTCAATTAAACTATCGTCTATTGGTCCTAAGGTTGCAGGATGATTTCTGTATAGATCAATACGACTTCATCTGGTGCCTCAATAAGATCTGTTTCTCTACCTAGGTAGGTAGGTACCTAGGCAGGTTGTGCTGCTTTGTCAGCTCAAAACAACCTTGGAACCTTGGATTCGTTATTGGAAAGGCAACTGATTTCTCATCTTTCCCCACAAACACTCATCGGAAAAAGCAGATTTCAAGTAACCATGGAACCCCCTCCAACACCCCGCCCTCCAGCACCGAAGGTGCCCTCGACCGTCAGTCAATGGAGAGCCAGCGCGCGCGATTGCCACGTCCTGACCAAAAATCCAAGCAAGCTCGAGTGTCTGCACCCAGGTTCAAAGGTCACGTTCAAGGAATATCTCAGCATGAGGATTATTCGGAGGGTCTCCAATATCACCGAGTTCCCCGACCGAGAAACTGAAGGCAGAGCCAAGGAGATGGTCAAGGGGGACGAAGCAATACAGACGTGGCTCTCATATATCGAAACGGACCAGTACCCAACCGACCGAAAGCTTGGCATGTTCGCCCTAGTGAGACAGGGTCAGCTTGCGATAGTAGCTTCGGATTCCCAGGAACCTTCCCAGACAGTTGAACTTCGGCGTCGAGATCGACCTCAAGCTCCTGAACTATCAGCAGATACCGCGGGACGCAGTCCTAGTGCTGCCGCTTCAACTGCGCCAACTGAACCGTCTACTGCCGCTTCAAGTGTGCCAACGGAACTGTCTACTGCAGCCTCGAGGAAGTGGGTCAAGTACGCCAGAGCGGATGGAGAACCGCAGGTGAACCAATTCGTGATCAACCTTCTCAACGCTTTGACACTCAGCGTAGGCCAGGGCGTGAACTGCCAATGGTCCCCTAATGGTAATCTGTTCGGTAGCGTGTCTTTTGGAGAAGTCCAATTAACCGCATATGTCGACGGATACCTTATGGGAGTCAAGAAAAGCGATATTTTTGCTATTGTGGAGGTAAAGGCAGGAATCCGGGACCCCGAGCAATATCCGTTGGTCGAGTGGCAAGAAGGCGCAGAAATGGTCAGCTGGATCATGAATGATGAGGAGAATCTGCGACGTCATCCATTCGAAACGTGAGTGGGGTGTGAATATTCGCATATTTTCGTGCTAAGTGCTGTAGGCGCCTCTTGATCTCTTTGAATCGACATGAGATGTATTTGACACTCGCCCGCTACCACGAGGACTACGTAAAGTTCCTAAAGGGAGAATTTCAAGGGTTGAAGAGCTACCCCGAGAATAGATTCCTCCACTTGCACGAGTACGGCCCATGGGATATCGGCAAGAAATCTCACATGAGGGACCTGGCCGAAATCATCGTAGGTTTCTCTCTCCGTGTCAAAGATGAACAGGCTAGATCGGCTGTGCCATCAGGGAGTGGTCCTGACGGGGCGTGAGCACAATGTGAGCGATATACATGTCTCTAGCGTGTCCGGTGCAGTATCATTCCATTACAACGGTTTCTCGAAATCTTTTCTCTCTCTTTCTTCCTTTCTTCCCCTATACCTGTTGTCTCACATAGAGGCACTCTAAATCTTTGATCAAAAGTGGGTTTCCACATCGGGCCAATACCACCTGTCCTTTTGTCTCCTTTCATCACCATTCTTACCTCCACAGCTCTCACTGATACACGCCAAGACTCGCCCCGAACCGAACCGGCTTGCTGGCCCTACGCCCTCGACCCCACCTGCCGCTCCGCTCGCCTGGCTGAGAGAGATCCGATCTACAATGGATCCGAGCCCTACGATCATGGTAAAAACCATCACATCTTAGTCGCCTATAACGCTAACTACTAGGAACTTAAACTTAACCCGCTCTATCTGATCTCGGTAACCCTATAGGTAGGCTGCGCCAAAACCCACGAAACCCAAAACCCAAGCCAATCTATGGGCGCCCATTAGACCTATTAAATCGTAAAAACGTGACGTTCACATGACTATATAATTTATGCATTTCTAGGTGGTTTTTTGGGTATTTTGTATACATATGAAGTATCTGAATTTATATATTACCCGCAATTTATAGACTCAGATAATGATTCAGATGATGATTCTATTTCATATATACATTGAACTTCTTTTCAATGATAGGCCCAGTCACTATCATCCTATCTTGTTCGCTTACGAGCTCTCACTGACGTGCGTAAGCCGGTGCTTCTAGGATCGGATTCCGGAAGTGGGGCATCAGCCTCAGCATTAGAAATCCCAGTTTGTTCGTGACTCCGGGCCCAAAGTTGGGCTTTACGGAAGCCTAGGCCGGCCCGTAGGCGGGCACTGTCGTAGTCTACCTACCCATTGAGACCCATTGAAATTAGACCTAGATAAAGCCTATAGGCGACGGTTCTGACCGCGCTCAGAAATTGTAGTGCTTACAGAAAGGTATAAGCTATATAATTTCACACCTCATCATTTTCTTAGAGGCCATACGAGTGAATAACTTCCCTGAGGGCAGGGGCTATCAACAAAAAAGGCTGATCAATGTTAGGTGGATTCTTAGTTGTTGACGCTAGTATCACAGAATAGATGGCTAACAAATGATGCACATGTCACGTGGTTAAATTGTTCCATCTCTGCCTTTATTTTCAGGCCGTAGAGTGAGCAAGTCTTTGCGCTCATTAAGCGCTGTCGCATACCCTTGAGTACACTGAGTAATCACCCTGTGCTGTGAAATACTCAGTGAACAGGACCCTGAGCCCCCTCATAAGGCGGCGGCACCCCGATCGGGAAATTCGCATCCGCGGCCTAAAATCCGGTACATACAGCTACATATGTAGGTTACCCAGGTGAAGGCACTCGCTTCAGTCATCTCTATGAGTTTTTGAAAGACAGTCACAGTTAGATAAAGAATGAAAGATGGGGATAAAGTGCTCAGAGAACTGGAGGCTTTGTGACAATTTTTTTCCAAAGATTATATTTGGCTCATCTCAAAAGATGCAGTAAAACGTAAAACCTCATCCTAAATGATCACCTGGTAGACTCTTCTCTTCACTATTTTCCCCCTCTCTATCCGCGGCAAGGTTGGAAGCTTGTGAGGTTATGCAAATTCCCCATAGGTGACGTGGTTCTGAGTTCACCTTCCAACAGCTTAATTTCCCCCTCCTTTTTCATCTGACAATACTCCCACCGCTTCAGTTTAACCATGGGGTCAGTCTAGTCATCATCAAGGACGACAACATGCTAATAAGATACAGTTACACGCACTACTATGCCATCCTTGGCTGGGATACACCTGAATGGCAAAAGGCCTGGGCCCAACTCATCGAAGATGTCCCCAAAATCATCAAAGAAGGCCGGGTCCCTCTCAGTGGTCCAACTGAAGATGAAGATGAGATAACAAAAGTGGTCATAGACTCTGAGAAAGGCATAAACCTGAACGGGGTTGGAGAAGATGCCTATGAGCAATTCATACTGTGCAAGCCGGGCCAGTGGACTTTCTGCAAGACTGCCGAAAGGCCGTACGACGTGGTCGTTACATCTATCCTTCTCAGAATTTGGATGCTGGCACCGAAGAATATTGATCTTAGGTATGCTACATGTTACATCCGTCCAGAGAATCCATTCTAATGATGTATAGCTCTGATGGTGAATATGAAGACTGGGCAGATGCGCGTAGGCTCTGTGCCACCTTGTGGCCTGGGGAGCCTACCGATAGCATGTGGGCACAGGGTGATGAGGGAAAGGACGTCGAGGCCAAAGACTTAAGTGACCAGGTCAATTAAATGTACGGGTTTTCGTTTTTAGGGGCCATTGACTTCATTTACGTTTTATTTGGTGCCCTATGTGGCTCAAATTAATGAGCTTGGCCTGCGCATGCAGAAGATGTTGCACTTAATCTCTATTGCCTTTTTTTTTCTCCAAGCTTCTACCTTTACACATTGAATCTGAGACAAAAGTGTCAACGCCCAGCCTCGGGGAATCCGAGAATATCCACAATTCACAATTACTAACCACATACATAGTAGCCCAATAAAAGTCCCTTGAAAAGAAGAAGATCATCACGAAAAACACGTCGGTTCACGCATCGATAGTTGGGTGAATAGGGCAAGGGACCGAAAGCTGAGGCTTATAGGAATAGAATGTATAGCTACTAGTTTATAAAATTGCAATCCAACACTCATCAGAGAAGGGTGCCTTTGTTCATGGGAAATAGGACCCGTGATACTGATTGCGATATTGAATTGTTGACAAAATGAAGCCTCGCGCACCACCAGGCCCCAGAATTGCGATATGCTTAGTCATGGAATCAACAAAAGCCACCTGACAATTGTCTCATGTCGGATTGTAAATGCCTCGACTTCATATCTCGAAAAATATTTTACTGTCTCGCCCATACTTCTTGTCCACACCCTGCACTCAAGTTCGAACTGTATACGAAGCCGCAAGAATGCCAATCACCAAGAATCTCACACTGCCGAGCTCGGCGAAGGACCTGGCAGTAAACCCGGACTCAAAATTATTCATTGCCTTCATATCTTCACCAGATCCAATTACCAAGCAACCATGGTGTCCGGACGTACGAGATGCCTTGCCTCACATCAACAAGGCATTTGCCGGGGATGACGCGCCTGACCTAGCTATCATCGAAGTTGGACAAAAGCCAGAGTAAGTTTTACCATCGTTTTTGAGCAAGATTTTGTTCACATTATATTCGAGACGTGTCCCTGTGGTGCATTGAACTGATATCTACCAGATGGAATAACCCCCAAAATGTCTACCGAAAAACGTGGGGCACTAAGAACATTCCCGCGCTGGTACGCTATGAGCAAGTCAATGGGAAAGTCACTGAGACAGGGCGATTGGTGGAAGTGGAAATTCTCAACAAGAAAAAACTTCGGGAGTTCATCGTCTAATTGTATCGGGGTCTTGTTATCATCGTACCTACCTTCTGCACTACTCATACCAAATTGCACTTGATATCTTTAATGTACTAGTCCGTTTGTTTGTTCGCCATCCAATTCAAATGCTAGTGGAATCTTTACAAGGAGATGGGTTTTGTCACTCTTTGAAGAGTTAAGACTATGCCCTTAAGAACGATATCACCGAATAGGCGGCGGATAGCACTTAAGTTAGGTCATATCCAAAGTTAGAAATTCAGTATGAGATCGGATGATAGACTTGTAGATACTAGAAGAAGAAGCATGTGCATTTTCATGAGATTCTGCAAGCCTTTGTGCTTTGAATATTTGAAAACCCAGATGATGCCAAAAATGGAAACTTATAGGCAGTTCGCCAGCATAAATCTTACATCAATCCAATCAGCGCCCTGTTTCAGATATCTTTCAAGGAGGTGATATTAAAAAGGTTTGATTGTATATTGCTGTCTTTATTAAATTTTAGATATTCTTGTTTTCAATCGCGGGATCAGATATTAGATGTCTGTGGCTAGAGCAGCCAATAGCTAATCATCCGTAGTGACTTCAGAGTGCATGGAGTCCCCGAAGGGTTTTCATTGATGGATGAAATAAATAAAAGATTACAAGTTAGAGAAGTCCAGCTTGCATGGTTCACTGTATCCCATCAATTATTGTATCAACTCTCATGGCAACTGTGATATTTTTGTTCTTATATTTGTTTAACAACTCCGTCGGCACCGTCACCGATGGTGGAGTTGGAAATAATTTCAATAGCAGATCAAGTAGAACTAGACCTTGTAGGCCAAAATGTACCGATCTCCAGCATACTCGGTGACAGTATAGTACTCCTTATGAACAAGGTTGTAGCTCAAATCCTCATTTCCAGCCATGAACCACCCCGTGTGCTCTGTCGCTGTCTGCCCCTCTTCCCAAGTGAAAAGATCGCCTTGCTTGGGAGCTTTGCCTGTGCTGCGCGAGATGTAGAACTCGCTGTCGTATGAAACAGCACCCTGTACGTTGGGTATATCGACACAGTACGCCCAGCTTGCGGAAGCGATGCCCCCACTAGTCTTCAGCTTCCGGGTCGTGTAATCTAGATCGTATTTCACATAGCGGATAGGGACGGGCGTATTTGCGGTATCGTCGAAAGTTTCTCCAGCTGACACAAACTCACCCACCATAAGGGTGTCGGGTGAATCGCTGCGATCAAGCGAAATCCAAGAGAAACGGAAGGGAGAAGCGGAGCCGGGTGTCCATTGATAATTGCTTTGAATGGTGTCAGTCTTGGTCAAAAGGAAGATAATAGATAGACTCACCGGATCTGAGGAAGCACATATCGGTATTGATCCGCAGAATACCCTCCATCTGTAGTTTTTCCGACACCATCGGCAATCTCAACCTCCCAGATGTTGTCCAGGTCAAATGCACGAATACCATTATGGGTATCGACAACAAACAGCACATTGCCGTACCACATGATGCCACCCGCATGAATAGCGATGGCTGTAAAGTTATCGTCGGCAGTAGGATTCACAAGCATCACATGGCGATAATTGTGCGTTGCGCGATCAATAAAGCTAAGCCGTACACTTTCTCCAGAACGATACCAACTGACGACCCACGCATCGTGGCCATCCCAGGTTCCCGTATTCAAAGCATCACCAGAGCCGGTGATTCCCTGCGGAACCCAAGTGGCTGTCGCGTCATCACCCGAGTTCCAAGCCCATGCCTCGGAGGGAGACCCATTGCCGACAGAGGGTGAACCTTTACTTAAGGCACGATTTGCGGATTGAAGAACCGTAGAGATGTTGGCAATTTTACCCTTGGACTCAAAGTACTTTGAGAGCACAGGGAGGTGAGCATTGTCTGCAGATTCTTCGAGGGTGAAGTCTGCGCCATCAAGAACCGTTTTATTCTGGCAGTAACGAGGGTCTGTCGCGATAGTGACGGGGAGGCAAAGAGAAAGAAGAGTCGTGAAGACCAATGTATACCGCATGATGGGAAATTTTGGTACGGAGTACCAATGGGGCTTTTCTTTTAACAATGCTGAGCGAGTACTCTGTACAGTTCCTGGGAAAGATGCAATTTATAGCGTATTTCATCAATATCATCGGGCGGATATGAAGTGCAACCAAGCCTCTACACACATCCGTAAAAGGCCCTTTCCCCTCGCATCACTCGTGTTAGGATGTGATCGCCATGAAATACGAGACTTGGCAGGCCCTAGCCAAGCCCCTTCTTCATCTTGAAAATACCTAGGTGGCTCTCAGACATGAAGGGCCCGCTCAGGTCAACACGTGGGATAAAGATAACCAACACGTGGGATGAAGACACAGCTTGAATGGTATTTCCACGGTCAAACATGAATAGGCTTGACCCGCCTTCCGCATTATTCCAAGCTTCGACAGAGGATCCTGTGTAGTATACTCCATAGTGGGGATGATCTTCTCGAGTTGTGTGCGTCAACTAGAGCTATTGGGACTTCCATAATATCTCACACAAGCTCGATGCAACCGATATTCGAGGTTAGAAAAGAATACGCCTCGGTATATAGGCTATGATCTGAGAAAACAGTTGGGAAAATATATCCTGGTAACTCTTATATGCCGTTGAAGATATAGAAGACATTAGTCCTTAAATCACTAGGTGGCCATGACGTATCGGAACTTCACAGGTATTTCCACAACCAACCTCCGTTTTGCGTACATGCAATATATGAACTGAATCATAATCAATACTTTTTGCCATCTCCTGACGGCCGTTTAATTATATCTCCTACACGCTAAATGCCGTCTCATCCCTGCCAACGCACCGAGGTTGCATCGTATAATGGTAGAGATATGCAGTGCGACGAATGTACACCGTATACTCCGTATCTTTGCAGTAGTTATAGATTAATGGTATGTAACGCTAACTAAAATTGGATGATTCGGGGAATATCACCTGAACGGGACATGACATGCTGACTAATTTGCCAATACAGTGGAACCGTAGACCCGTGGACTCCCAATATTCTGTGGGATTCACTCATAACTTCAGGGTATATTCCATCTCTATATGAACTGCGGAAACTCTGGGCTGCTAGATGGGTCATCAAGCAAAGGATAGCCGGCAGACCATTTAGGATAGCTCGGCGATTGTCTAGATTCAGCCTGATAGACTAACACGTACTTTATGTTAGAGCATCAAATGATCTTTTTGATTCGATATGCTCACAATTCATAGCTGGGATATTTTTTTCCAATCCCAAACTAAGGGCACATGAATAAATGAATACCCAGATACGATAGGGCCAGAAAAGAAACCCAGAAAGCCAAGCTCCAGACGAGAAGAAAATGAGAAAATAAAGACAAAACGTGATTGCATGTTCATCATCCACGACACAACCCATGCGAGAGATCCACATCTCATCCCTCACATCTGCATGGCCTCGTCACCATCGGCATCCGCTCCACCGGGTATCCGTCCCTCGTTGAGCTCCTTCTCTAACTTCGTAATCTCCTGCAAACTCTTCGCCTCGCGAATCAATTTCTCGACGCGCTTGCGCTCCTTGTCGGTGAGTTGCACTCGGATGGCCTTTTCGGCAGGGGTGCGTTCAGCAGGGGTAGAAACGTCGAAGGTGCGGGACTTGACACCCATAATCTTAGATGCGAGGGACGAGGGTTCCTCGTAAGTGCCGAATAGCTCTTTGGCCGCAGCGCGCTCGGCGTCGGTCACTTTCTGGAAGTCAAGGAAGTGGACAGAGGGAATGCGCCAGATAGTCCAGTAGCGGTAGTTCTGCAGCAATCAGTTAGCTTCCAATTGAGTCTAGACCATGTCATATATAGCCGAATCTGACTAGTATACGGCGCAGGGCTAAACATACC